TCCAAAGAATCCTTCATTATTTCAAGTCAGAGCTTGAATTTTTTTCCCTAAGATTTTCAGCTTGAGAAATTCTGAATGTGTTGATCTCTTTTAGTTTTCTAATTCTAGGTCTTTGCACACTGCCCTTTGAAATTTTCTGTTCAGCTCTTTTACCTAATAATTTCTTCCATTTGCTTTAACATCTGTATGCTGGAGAGCAAGTTTCAGAGTCTCTTCTGACATCCATTTTTGTTTTTTCTATATTTGTATTAAACTAGAACTTAGAAAAGCACGGAAATCCCCTGAAAAAATTTATGAAGTGACCATAACCTTCATTTCAAAACCAGGATAAGATATCACTATGAAAGAAAATTATAGCTCAATATCCGTCATGAACTTAGATGCAAAATTTCTACACAAAAATGGATCTCTTCCAATCGGGTGGTTAGGTAGTTGTCTTTCAAATTTCATGGCACAGATGAGTTAGTGCCTTCAGTGCTGCATCAGTTTGTTGCAAGATTTCAATTTGTATTTCTTCAATTCCTGAAGCCTGTTCTTTGCCAATACCTTCAGTACATATTGATTTTCATCATTTAGTACCTTTGGCTCTTCATCATATGCTACCTCTCAAATTAGTTGATCACCAACCATTTCTTTTTGTTACAGTGACTATATATTTCTCTAATTTCTTTTGATGCTTTCTGCATCGTTCATTATTTTGCACCAAGATTCTTTCTCTACCAAAGTAGAGGCTTAAATTTTCCCCAGCTCTTTCAACTTGAGAAATGTGAGCATGTTCTTCCCTTTTGGTTTTTTAACTCCAGGTTTTTGCACATTTCATTATAATATTTCACTTTGCATAACTTGACAAGGATACTACCACAATAGCACAAATTGTCAAATGAGTGGAGGACTAAATGTGATATTTACAGTATTTATGCAAGTAAAGTAACTAAAAGAGAGAAAATTTATATTGCATGAATTTTGAAAAGGTAGGTTTTCTGTACAGGCTTTGCTACCATTAAGTGCAGGGAAAATTATATAATATTCTAAAATATCCCTAGATTAGTTTTCTTATACATTAAATTAATAATTATTTAAAACATAAATACATACCGAAGTATGGCCACAATGATTGGCATGCTAGAAAAACTAGCAAATACAATTGTCGCAAAGATGAAAGCAATAAACAAAGGCAATTTATAGCAGTTTGAATCACATTTCCGAAGTTCAGCATCACTAAAATCACCTTCTTCATCTTGGCTTAATAATCCTTTGGTAACACATGAACAGTTGTAGTAAAACTGTAGATATTCAAGATAGGAAACAATCTTTCAGCAATATAAAAATGAAGCAAACTACTGTGTTTTAAATCCCAAAGTAAATATTAAATCAATAACTATAGAAACCTTGAACATCTTATTGATAAATGACCTTATATAATGCTGCCATTTCTTATTCAGAAATGAAATAATATTGATAAATTTAAAGTATTTTATCTGTTAAAATACCATTGTGTGTGTTTTTGTGTACTTGAAATTAGGAAAAGTTTTGTTAATTTAAGACATTTTCACCACAATGTTTATATTCAATCTCACAAACATTTGTTGGGCAATTATATAAATTGAGAGTAATTAAGGAAAATAGAATTATTAATAGGTGAGACTTGAAATGTAGCCATGTTACACAACTGGAAAGTTTGGGATCTAAGCTTAAAAAATAAGACTTGCTTTGTAGTTAGTGGTGATAGGGCTGAATTGTCTACTAGGCACAGTGGTGTATAGGGTCTATCCATCATACCTTTATGGGGCACCATAAACTTCTATATGAAACCAATGATAATTTGGATTTTTTATTGTAGGAGTTACGATTCAAGAAAGATGGACCTGGTCATATTTGGTAAGCAGAGCTAAAATGTAATTTGAAGTACAGAGACTAGTTAGCAATTTATTAATCTTTAGAAAAGATTCTAATTTATAAAATAGTGGCAATAG